TTATGATTTTTTGCTGTTTGAAACGAGTAACGTTGAACATTAGTAGACATTAAGTTTTCCTGATCTATTTGCTGGCATCCAAAATTAGAATTTCAGATTTAAGAAGCAATAACGCATTCACGAGGCTTATTGTCTCTCCGCGGATAACCAGAATTCGAATACTCTTATAGCACATATAGGCGATTACGGGAGAAATTCCGTTCAGATGCTTTGTTGAATTGCCTCGACAGAAGCACTATTGATTGACTTTCGAGCAGAATGTTATGTTTGCGTAAATTGCAAATGCTGATTAATGTTCTGTCATTTATCACGTATGTTTGGGGACAAAAGGCATGTTTCGAAGGAAACGTTTCTCTTAAGATTAGTTTATTTTGAAATTACAAGCTATTGATTCTAAAATGAGCAATAGCTAGGTAAACATAATACTTAAATACAGTGTGTCAAGGGAAAATAGAAACGAAAACAATCTTATTCTGTTTTTCTCTAAGTTGTTGCACCTACTCATTTGGGAAGTTGCCGCTTACTTTAATTTGAAAAAAAGAGCAATAATTAGTACCAGCTAAGCATAATACGTAAGCAAAATCTGTCATGCGACAATAGAAACGTAATGAAGCGATATGCAAAGAAAAATGAAGAGCGCCATAATTTTATTTTTAGTCGCTTAACTCAAAAAAAAAAATATTCTTGCTATTTTTCTTCATGCTATTTCAAAGTTATTTCAATTTCAAAGCTCTATCATCATCTTGATAGTTTGTTGCTTAACCCAAAATATTTTTTCTCTTCCTGTTGTTTTTCTCTACGTCATTTTATTTGGAAAGTTGTCGCTCCACCTGTGTGTGTGGTCTTTCAAGATTCCTGGAACATACTGGTAATTTGTTTATCCCATCATACGATCAACCTACTCATTTCATTATATGTTTATGTGCAATACTGAAGCCGTTGAAGGTATATATCCCTCCTGTTCATCTAATGTATTCAGTTTTTGGTCTATCCATCAATGTTTTTTCAGCTCTTCTTCAAACTATTTTTCTTACTATAGCCTCTAATATTTATGTGTTATGTTTATTTCGCCGAATTTGATCGATTAGCCATGCGGCTCTTCTTCATATTCTTGTAGCATCTTAACATTCCATCCATCCATCCATCCATATATCTCAATTCCTAAGGGTTTTTTAATTTGCTGGAGGATTCTTTTAATATCAACCAACCAACCAATCGATGATTTCGAAGCTAGTATTGCTGTTATTTTTGACGCTGATATCATCACTTTTTTTAATTTTCTATTTTCCTGACTTTGCGTACTGGTTTTATAATTTTTGTTCATTAGAAGGTTGAAAGAAAGTGCCATTTATTTTCCTTTGAGATTTCTTCAATATTTTCATTTAATGTTTGTTTTTGTTATCTATTAATAGGAATTTTTGTGTATATTTTTTTTATTTAAACTCTAACGTCAGTTTTTCAAAGAAACTTCTACAGGCTACTGTAATACTTTTTACACAAACTTCTGATGTTTCGCCAATCATCTTGTTGGCTGCTTCAGACCTTGAGTGCAACTGGCTCGTATTTTACTCTGTACCTGCTTATATACTGTTTGAGGAGGGCAGAGCTAAATGAAGGGCATAAACCCTGTCTCCGATGACTGATTTTCATATTGGTGACGGGTAGAGACCTGAATCGCGGTTAAGATTGTTAGGTTGTTTATAGATTTTTATAGACTCTCGGATCTTTCATTGGTAGAAGAATTGATTGAATGCAAGAATTTTAGTTTTATCGAATAAAATTTTATGTCCAGTTTCATGAGTGTGTTCGGCAACAGCTAATGAGTTTATTTGTCTTAGTCGTAAGGCTCTTTCGTGTTCTTTGAGTCTAGTTGATAATTTTCGTCCGGTTTTTTGTCTTTGACGGACCAAAGATGTTGAGAAATATTTGGACAAGTGGTTTTGACTTTATACTTTTTTAGAACTATTGATATGTGGAACGCTTAATATCTTTAATGTGAAAATTATTAGAGAGAAAAGCAGAGGTAAGGTGTTTTAATTCTGGGTTCAGTGACTCGGGCTGAGATAATTTTACGGCTCTGCAAACAAGAGAGTTGATAACCGATGATTTTTGGGCCGGATGGTGATGTGACCATGGATTAAGGTATCGATCTGTGTGCGCAGGTTTCCTGTAAACACCATGACCCAATGTTATGTCTGATTTTCTATTGATAAGAATATCTAAGAATGGAAGGTTATTATTAGGTTCCAACTCAATGGTAAAACGTATGTTAGGGTGTATAGAGTTTAAATGTCTAAGAAAATCTACTAGGGTTTCTTGACCATGAGGCCAAATAAAAAAAGTATCATCGACATAGCGTTTTCATAATTTTGGTTTTATATGAAAGCTGATGAAATGAAATGAAAGGAGATTAAACCTTTCATCTAAAACCAAAATTATGGAAACGCTACGACGATGATACTTTTGTTATTTGGCCTTATGGTGTTTACAGGAAACCTACGCACACAGACCGATACCTTAATGCATGCTCACATCACCATCCAGCCCAAAAATCATCGGTTGTTTTTGTTTACAGAGCCGTAAAACTATCTCAGCCCGAGTCACTGAACCCAGAATACACCTTACCTCTGCTCTTCTCTCTAATAATTTCCACATTAAAGCGTTCCATCAAAAAATATACTTCACTACAATAACACAACAATAATGAGGCCGAAAGCAATTCTACACTTGCCACTTTGGTCCTACCTTACATTCAAAACATCAATGACCACATATCAAAAGTTCTAGAGAAGTATAACGTCAAAACCCGATTTACCACTTGTCCAAAAATTTCTCAACACCTTCGGTTCATCAAAGACAAAATTCTATTTGACATAACAGGAGTTTACAGCATTCCATGCATATGCGGCAAAGAATACATTGGAGACACCGGACGAAAAATATCAACTAGAACACAAAAGAGCCTTACGACGAAGACAAATAAACTCATCAGGTGTTACCGAACACACTCATGAAACCGGACATAAAATTTTATTCGATAAAACTAAAATTCTTGCATGCAATCAGTTCTTCTACCAACGAAAAATCGCCAACGAAAAATCCGAGAGTCTATAGAAATCTATCAAGAACCTAACAGTCTTAACCGCGACTCAGGCCTTTACCTGTCACCAATATCAGTCATCTGAGACGGTGTTTATGCCCCTCATTTAGCTCCGCCCCCCTCAAAGAATATATATTCAGGTACAGAGTAAAATACGAGCCAGTTTTAGTCAAGCTCTGACGAAGCCAACAGGATGATTGGCGAAACGTCAGCAATTTCAACTCAGAAAAAACCGACGCAGGAGGAATCCAGAAGTATTATATGATGCTTCAGATTGAATAATCATTTAATGTTTAATATGTCAAAAGCATCGATAAGTTTTGATTGGTCAAAATATAAATATTTACTAACTTCTACGCAAATAAAATAGGTTCCTACTTGTCTGTTTCCAAAAGTCTAAAATATGTCAAACATAATGTACATAATTATATAGCGTGTCCCATTAGAGAATGAAAAATCAAGTAATATTTCAAAAATAGCATTTTTGAAATGGTAATTTTAAAATTCAAATTTTCACGCTTTTACTCGCTCAACGGTTATGAGAAACACTCTGTGTCTCAAAAAAAGATGTAAACATATTTCATATGTCGAAAATGTGAAACCGCACGAAACATACACACCCGCCGAACAATATCTCTAATATCATTATGCGATTAAAATGTAACCGTCTAGAGTCTAGACATTTCTAATATTTTAATGATGCAAATTTATATCCGTCCGCTCCATGCGACCCTGTGACAAGATATCGTTACTACACCAGGCGACTTTCTCGAATTGTACTGTGTTCCAGAGACTTTTTAATAAGCGAACAGCCTCTGGGGAAATTTTCACTCCTTTAAAAGGATACGAATTTATTTAGCCACGAATCGGTTTATAACCGCATTGTGAAAAGATTTAGTTTAGGGTTTACGCCGAAAGCAAAACACAAAAAAAACTGTCTCAGAGCTTTCCGACGCTTGAATCGACGCTGTTTATGTTTGCCAAGTCTTCCGAACTATTCGAACAAACTAATAATCACCGGGGACCATCTCACCAGAAAATTGTTTTTCCACACTTCCGCTACGAGGCAAAACAACAATACTTTCAATTCCTGCTGACTGTGAATTAGCTCGATTTCGCTGAACTTCAGAATCTTAACAACGTTGAAGCACTGGCAAAATATATTTTTCGATATCCTGAGTGTCAGAAAATACGTTAAAAGTTTATTCACGATCAAAATATCCCAAGTGAGAAAAGAAATACAAAACGTGCCAATAATCTTTAATGTTACGTTAGAAAAAACACCTTAATCATAATCCTAGCTACGATGCGTGCTTACAATCGTTATAAATAGAAACACTCAAAACAAAAGACACAAATTTTCATTAAGAACGTAAACTATTCACTCGAATTATTTAAATCTATTATTTATTTAGATTGGAGACAAATTATTAAACTGAACCATTGTACTAATAATTATTAATGATAGATATTTCTGGTTCTGGTTTAGAGTTAAAAATTTAAGTAGTCTATATAAAGTTTGTTTTCATGAGAGAAATGCGAAACGTCTTTTTGATCGATGAAAAAACAGTAGTCTTTCATTTATAATGCGTTGCATAAACCAATCGTGATATATAACCTTAACACAGGTTGTATTCCGTACATATGTGAAGAATTTGCTGGTAGATTATTCAGCAACTGCCCTGATCGTTGCCAAACTATTAGGAAATATAGAGGCAACAACCGAGTAGTGGTTTAAAACCAATTCAAGCTCCTATGCAAACGATAAAGACCAATTGTTCACACTAGTAACATCGCAAACAAGTTTCAAATTAATGTGAAAACAAACCTATAAACGTCAGTTCGCATGATGTTTTTGGAATCAACCGCAGCAACATTTTTATTATGTCATTTGTTTCAGAACGACGCCATCCAAGAGGCGGTAAAGTCATTAATAGCTCGAGAGCAACAGAAGAATCCCCAGCGATATCAATGCTTGTAAGTAATTACATATTAATGTTGGCCAAGTTCTCCGGTTGTGTAAATGATTAAAATGAAGCTATAAGAAGCGCTTTCACAATTTTCAATTATTATTTCAATACGATATGCAATGATTTCGGCGACACTGCTGTCTAAAAAATTATGCGTTTTCCCTATAATGATTTTCCGACAAAACAATTATTTATAATGTTTGAACTTAGGTTTCCACAAATACTTTGGGAGCAGGAAAGAACATCCTGAATGGATACTAAAGCGTTAGAACCTCCTAACGATAGAACCGCGAAGATAGTTTGTTGGTGGACGTTTGAGTCAGAAAAATTTGAAATTCGGTGTGCCCAAAAAAGTTTGTAGTAATAGTAGTCAGATTTATTTAATAAAATTCAATAAAATTAATTTTTGATATTAATTTCGCTCAAATTAAAAAAACTTTTTTGTGACTGACGATGTTTTGTAGCTAGTTAAGAAAAGTGCAATTTTTGTTTAGTCATCTTTGAGATTAAATAATTGGTTAGTTTTTTTGCTTCTAAAATTATTGCGAAAACTCATCCGTAGCATACAACGTTAGTGAATGAGATTCGGTTTTAATTTAAATGCCAAAATCGGTAAACGCATCGAAAATATTATGTTTTTTTTTTTCGGAAAATCAAGCGCTGTATTAACCGGGGTAATCAAATTTTGCTAGCCCCAGATGTAAATATTTCATTCCCGCAAAATTTAATATTCACCAATTCTCTTTTGCGAATTGCGGTTTGTTAAATTTTGGTCACTGCTTGAACGCCGATAATCAGTTTTTACATGAAATCTCCAACAATCCGCGGCTAATTACTACCAACAGTTTTAGATATTTCCGCTGTGCCGGATATATTTTTTTTATTTTTACTTGGGTTTGCAAAATGTCTAGTTACTTGACAAGTAATCAATTATTCAAAGTTACGCGACAGTTATAATATTGACGTTATGCTTCCAAAATGTTTGACGATACTCAGCTCAACTTATACAAACCCTTTAGGGTTTAGAAATCTAACCTAGAGATAAGCTGAAAATCTTTGTCTTGCGATGCCTCTCATTTCAACAGAATGGAAAGGATATCCCGGAACACACGACAGTGTGAAATTGTAAACACAAAGGAAAAAGATTAAAAACCGCCTTCTTTCATGTTTTCGTGTTGTTTTAATTTTAAAATCATAATGCAGAGATTGTTTTAGGAAGTTATTATGATTTTTACAGCATTTTTTATTTATGCATTTGAGAAACACAAATTTTGGTTACCTAGTTTTACAACTGGGCTGCGACCACACGTCAGTTTTGTTGGAAACAAATGTTTATTTAAAAAGACATTAGTTCTTTGTAGAATAATGAAAACACCCACTATAAAATAAATAGATAAAGCAGTCCATTTAGAAAGCAGTGTATTAAAAAAAAAAACCTTTTTTGCTCTGATTTCCCTTACACATATTTTCAACGACTTTCTTGTTATTCTATAATTTCTATATTACGGTAATGTTTATCAGACAGTGATAATTTTGCTTTAATAAATAAAATGAACACGGCGATCCTAAAAAGTCAGATTAATTGGCACATGAAATCAATACAGTACAATTAAATTTAGTACGTAATAATTAATTGATTGCAAAAAAAAACTGAAAACAAGAACAACTGTTGCATCTATATGACAACATTTTTGTTCAAACACTTAATAAACTTTAGTAATAACTTTCGATGGGCATCTAGATATAAAGCAGTAACGTCATTGTCTCTAGTTTGTACAGGAATTATGTCACGAGCCGTCCCTTCAGCCCTAGGAAGAAGATGCTCAGCTAGATTGTGCCGCGTCAGGTTTTAATCGCATAAAACTGTTGTTTCACTTATTATTATATTATATTATTATATTATTATTATAAACTTTTTAATCAGCGACTTTCGGTTTCCTGTTAGAAAAGTCAGGTCTAGAAGGAATACACACACAATGCCACTTAGAAAGGTATAGTCCATCGATGTTGTAATAAATTATATACCACACCATACAATAATACATATAGTGTCGTATCTGGAAAAACGAAATTTTGTATATTTGGTTAGTTGTAATTATTTGGTTAATTCTGGCCACCCAGTAATGATAATTTTCAATACCATTTTCGAAAGGGGATTCAGTTTTCGAGCACAAATGATTACGAGTTACCCATGTATTTATGTCTTTCAAAATTTTTAAATCAATACCTAAAACTATTGAAATCAACAAATAAAATAATTAAAAATTTAAAATAAGGAAGTTAGGTTATGCGAGATAGTTATGAAATGCTCTGTATAATATAATATTATATATTAAAAATTTTTGCATTGCATTGGACATAGCACATCTGTACCAACAACTTTTATATGTAAAACTTTTCGAAAGAATCCCGCAATAGTGAGCTACCCTGTATGTTTAATTTGACTGATTGAAAAAATAGTTCGGCGTAATAAATTTAAAATTTTAGGCCTTGGGTTTTAATAGATTCTGCTCTAGTACTTAATTAAGACCTGTCTTTCAAATGTTAATTATTAATTTAGTTTTGCTATATTTACATGAGAAACGCTTATAAATCGAAAATCTGACGATGCAACTTAAATTCAATCTTCTTTCAAAACAACTTTATTGCCGTATTAAAGCGAACACTTTTTAACAATCTTTGCCCACGTTAACATAAAAACCTTTAGCAACAGCCGGATATTACTCTCTTTATTGAAAAAATCTTTTTCGCGTCTTCGTCTCAAGACGTCGAGAGTTTTAACGTGAAATTGAACGAATCCTCTCTAAAAGCATGACAAACAGGGAGCGAAAAACATGAAAAATTTATTTGGATACTTTATTTTTGATCGGTGTTTGCACGGTTTCTTTTTAAAAGTCATCAACTACGCATCTTGTTTGCCATTTTGATACCTACTATTTGTTTAGGCCATATTTATTCTGTTCATACTTCTTGCTTTATAATATATGCGAAAGATTTTTAAAAAAAGTAAACTTGACATATTAACAAGAACTTGGTTCCCTAATAACCATAATAAAAATAATCAATGGCCAATCAACGCTATCCAAGAATTGCGAATTAAAAATTGTTGTTTTTTATTCGTTCTTTAGGAATCTACACTTCCCCTTGGTAGAACTTACTCGCTTACATCGTGTATCACCATAAAATGTCGACAACTGTAATAGATCTAATGGGACAAATTATCCATTAATTTTTATCATGAAATATTTTAACAACTAGAATACATAATAAAATATGTGACATTAAATGTTTCAATTCTTTTTGAACAACTCTTAGATCCTTGCAGGATTTTATCATGTCCAGAATTTTCTTAAAATTGCCTTAAATCAGTCGCACCCCAGCAGTTTTAACACCAACAGCGCCAAAGGGTCAATTTAACATTTTTAAAAATTAGTTCTAAATCTTCCAGACCAAGGGCACTACGGGGCTGGATTTTTTCGGCTTTTATTATTTTTATGTTGTATACACGTACAAGTAAGCTTAGTCTTGTTTGGCATATCATTTTAATTTTTTGATGGCTTTTACTTATTAGCTCCGCTAGGGATCATTGTGATCCATGTCGAACAAGTGATTTGTTCAGTTGTTGTCTATTGTTATAACATACACGTGTTGTAAAAATGTGCCGTATCTCAATGTTTCTGAACTTGAACAAATAGCCAACTATATGGCAATGAATGACTTTGGTGGAGAAGATGATAGTAAGGTGGAAGGCGACGAATCAGTATATTTCCCAAGAGAAATGAGTTCCAGCGAATCATGCGATTCTGAGGCAGTGACCAAAGAATACCATAAAAAAACGGGTCTACAGCAACCAAGGTATCCAATTATCTTCGATATGTAGCACTGAAAAGCTCGTAATTTCTGAGAAAACAGAACTAAAACTATATTAGATATTGTGTTTTTATGTGCATGTTTCTACTACTTTTCAATATCAAAGTGAACAATTCTGTGGCAACTGATGGTGGAAATATTTTTGAAATATATATTTTTATAATTCATATGTCTGTACAACCTATGATTTTAATTGTTGCAGCTGGTGTTTTGGTTAGTCATCAAGTTGCCACTTTACAAACTGAAGGAACCGATAGTGAATGTAAACGAGGTAGGGGCGTGGACGTGGACGTGGGCGTGGTCATTCGGCAAGAGTTCCTCAAACATCAGCAGCAAATGCAAGCTCCGATATGTTTGCCATTGGATCCGACTTCTTTGGCAGTGATAAGGAAACAGGAAGGACATCCACGTCGAACATTGTTAGAGAAACTCCAGGACCACCACCATATGATGAACGGCATATAGTTAAAGGAGATATGTTGAGTGCATGGCGATTGTTTCTTTCTGAATCAGTTTTGCGACCCATAAAAATGTCTGCCGAAGCTGAAGCTCGCCTTAAGGATGAAAATAAATCGACGATTACACTAGAGGAACTTGATGCATTTATTGCTTTACTGCACTTTCGTGGGTCTTATAAGTGAGGAAGAATGAATTATGATCTCTTATGGTCTATTATTTGGCTCATGGATACATACATCAGCATTAACCCGGCCTGAGGAAAACCAGAGCTGTCTTCTCTCAATTCACTCAGGCAACTCTCAGCAGGCGCATCCACGTCGCGGGGGTGGGCCCGACACGCGTATGAGTCGGTGGCTAAGTTCTGCTGGGGACCCAGTATAGCGGGGTATAACGCTGTCCCCTTGCCCGGGGATACGGGCGAAGACCACACCGGCGGTGAAGGCGTAGAAGAAAGGTGGATCCGGTGTAGGTGGCAACCCAGCCCTCAGGGGGTAGAATTAAGGCAGACTGGAGTTGGGCAGCAGCAACTCCAACACCAGGGTAAAGCGGGGAAGAGATACTTCGGTACGGTTTGCTACTGGATATTAATGTGCGACTGTCAAATAATCGACAATATCATTATGTTCTCAAGAATAGCCACTATGGATATAAGTACTAGTCAAGAAACGGCTCCGAGTCCCCGGCGTCCCTTAGATGGGACAGGAGCGCGAAGAATCCCCGGGTGGAAGTCGAAAACTGTATTAAAGCGTATCGCAACACGGAATATTAGAATCCTGTTTCAGACCGGAAAGCTATAGATATACAGATATAGATACTGGGACTATCGGAAGTACGCTGGCCTGGCTCAGGCATTTGCTATCAAGATGAAGCAATCCTCTACTATTCTGGTGCAGACAATGGTGATTACACTAATGGAGTCGGCATAATCCTAAGGAAAGAACTAAGACACTCAGTGATAAATTTCATCCCCTATAAGAACCGCATGATGCTACTACAAATTAGAGCACATCCCTTAAATATAAATCTGGTACAGATCTACGCGCCTACAAGTGGGAGTAGCGAAGCGGACAGAGAAAAGTTCTACTCAGATCTAGAAGAACTAACAATAAATATTAAGAAAGAGGAAGTGCTCATTATAATGGGCGACTTCATTGCAAAGATTGGAAATGGTAAGGTTCAAGACTGTGTTGGTAATTTCGGATTGGGTGCGAGACATGAACGTGGAGACAGATTGGTGGAGTATTGTCAGGAGAAAAACCTAACAGTCACAAATACATTCTATAAGCTACACCCTAGAAGATTGTATACTTGAACGGCGCAGGGCGATAATGATCTTAGACGAATAAGAAATCAGATCGACTTTATAATGATTAATAAACGTTTTAGAAATGGAATACAAAGCGCAAAAACATATCCAAGCGCAGACGGCAACACAGACCACAACCTTTTGCTAGCCAATATAAAATTCCGCCTAAAGAAGCAAAGTAAATATAAACCGCCACTCAAGCTAAACGTAGAAAAACTTCGAACCGAACAATATAAACAATTATTCAACAAGAACCTCCATGAAACACTACACGAAGGGAGTAACTGGAACGACATGAAAAATGCAATATTAAAAGCTGGGGAAGAGGTCCTCGGAAACATCCCAGTGAAACCAAAAAAAGAATGGATGACCCCCGAAATTCTTATACTTATGGAAGATAGAAGGAAGCATAAGAATAAAAACAGAGAAAGATATAACAACATACATAGACAAATAAAACGCGACATCAAGAGAGCTAAAGAAGATTGGCTGACACGCGAATGCCACGAATTGGAAGAACTTCAGACCAAACACGACACATGTAATTTACACAGGAAACTAAAAGAACTATCTAGGAAAACTAGGAATAACACAACTTGCATAACAAGGAATGAGCAAGGTCATGTAATATTCGACGAGGAGGAAATAAAGCACTACTGGGAGAATTACATTAGAGTACTATTCCATGACGACCGAGACAACATAGAAATAACAACAACAAACCAGCGAAACGACTGCCTGGAAATACTTCCTTCCGAACTCAAGTATGCTCTAAAAAACAGTAATAATAAAAAAGCCGCAGGCCGTGACAGGATGCCAATTGAACTCCTGAAAGCACTCGATGAAGAGAACATAATCAGGCTAACACAAATTTTTAATGATGTGTACAATTCCGGAAACATCCCAACAGAATGGCTAACTTCAACTTTTGTTCCATTACCTAAAAAGAACAACCCAACCCAATGTCAGACTTATCAGCCTCATGTGCCACCCCTTGAAGGTCTTGCTGAAGATTGTCCAGAACAGAATTTATAAGAAATGCGAAGAACAGCTGGACAACTCGCAATTTGGCTTTAGAGGAGGAATGGGGACAAGAGAAGCGTTTGCAATGACAGTACTTCTCCAGAAGAGCCGAGAATATAGCAAAAGTATATATATATATATATATATATATATATATATATATATATATATATATATATATATATATATATATATATATATATATATATATATATATATATATATATATATATATATATATATATATATATATATATATATATATACAAACAAACTAACTGTTAATTATTGGGATCACCCCAACTTCGATGGATCGCCGTAAAGGGAGCAATAAAAGATGTTGAAGCTCAAAGCAAAGTGGCAAATTATTGTAATATCTAGCTTTCGCCCATGGATACAGGCTTCATCAGGACACTAAGTCATATAGAGAACAAAAAAAAAACACTTCATCAGAGTTAACAATCTAACCAAAAAATAGTGAAAAAACTTACACAACACGCCTCTTTCAACCTCTACATATAGAGAGATGACATTGGTATATAAAATAAAGTGTTTCGCCCGTTCTAACTATCAACATAACACTCGATGGATGAAATTTATGGAAAAAATTTACAATTGTAAAAAAATATTAACATCCACCACAACGTTACAAAACAATTCCACTAACATAAAACGTTAAGGTCAATAAAATATCCGGATTGATAAAATATTAAAAGATGAAAAAAAAAAACAGCCGATTTGTTACAAATGACACTCCGTATTGTCGAGAAGGAAAACTAAATGTGCGGGAACTTATTAACAATTCGCAATAACCTAAAAAAGCCACAACCAAAAAACCAGTCAATGATACCAACTGTACAGCCAACCATAACATATGTAAAACACCGAACAAGGGAGGGAATTTCAAACAGAATTCTTTCAAATATACACCCATTGTACACTATTTATATAACTATGTTTACATTATTGAAGTTAACGTTAAGGGTAATTAGAAACAATCCTTTAGGAACGGGGAGAAAGAAACAAAGAAAGGAAACTGTTTTTAAACATTAATAGCAACAAATTTAGCAACCCACTACAACCTGACCGTATCAAAAAACTCTGGTAGCTTATGCTTCGCAGTACGACTCTGATTAAGAAGATAGGTGTAGATGCTACTAAGACCCTCAACATCCTTCTTTCTGTTGAGGCTATTACTACAACAGTTAATATAACACATCTCTAAAAACTTACGTTTGAAGAGGTTCTTTTCACTCTTTAATACTACCGCTTCATCGTACATGACACTATGTCCGGTATCATTGACATGAGCACTTAAACTAGTAATATTTGGTTTTAACTTACAATCACTTTTATGAAGTGTTAGCCGTTTTTTCAACTTCTGGGAAGTATGACCAATGTAAATTAAATTGCAAGAGCATTTAATGCAATATACAACGTCTGATTTATGTAACGATGGGGTAATGTCTTTAAGATTGGAATAGAAGGATTTGAGGGGTCTTAAGTTGTAATTGGCAATTTTTATATTAGTATCTTTAAAGATCCTAATCAGAGCCGGGGACAATCTATCTATATACTGTAGTTTGCCAAAACTAGGCAACTCATTATTAACATTAAGCTGTGGTTGTAAAGCATTAGGCAGGTGTGTAGTGGCACTATTACAGGAGAGAATTTTATTTATTTACGATTGTGGGTATTTATTATTAATTAGTAGGTTCCTTAATAACAATAAGTTCTTATTTAACAGACTATGGTGACAAATTTTTTTAATGCGATCAGTCAATGCTACAATCATATTGATCTTTTGTTTTTTAGGGTGATACGATGTGAAGGGAATGTATCTACCGGAACTAGTAACTTTTCTATGCCAATCAAGAATAACTAAATTTTCACTAGTGCGAATGACCTTTGTGTCAAGGAAAGGGACTGAACGATCTGTCTCCGTCTCCACCGTGAAAGTGAGATCGGAATGAAAGGAATTGAAAATTTCAAGTGTGGATTCGATGAGGTTAAGTGGAACTGCTGTTAATAAATCATCCACATATTGATATATGAAGGGGAATTCAAAACTAACTCTGTCTATCACATAATAAAGTAATTTGTTCATAACAATCTCAGCGATCACAGGGGAGGCCGCACCCCCCATAGGAAGGCCCTTCACTTGTTGGTAGAATTTTCCATGAAATGAGAAAAAAGTATTATTATATAGAAAAGTTACCGTATCCAAAAACTCCTTCTTAGGTAATGTACAGTTGGGCTCAACCAAGTCAAAATGTTCCTCTATAATATCAACAACTAACTGTAATGGAATATGAGTAAATAAGGACACTACATCGAACGAGACAAGTGAAAAATCAGATGGTAAAATAGACTCATTAATACGCTCCGCAAACTCAAAGCTATCTTTAACCCTAAACTTATTGAAGCTACTAAAAGACTTATAAAGAATTTGACTGATAAATTTAGCTAAGGGTTGCGTCGACGCATATATATATATATATATATATATATATATATATATATATATATATATATATATATATATATATATATATATATATATATATATATATATATATATATATATATATATATATATATATATATATATATATATATATATGTTTTATAGATTACCAAAAAGCGTTCGATAAGGTGCAACACATGAAATTAATAAATGAACTGAAGAACATCCAACTAGACCAAAATGATATTAACATAATTAAAAGCATATATTGGCACCAGACAGCCACAGTAATAGTCAACAACTTGGAGACGGATGAGGTACGAATCCAGCTAGGCGTTAGACATGGATGTGTACTCTCACCGGCACTCTTTAATTTATACTCTCAGGTAATCTTTCAAAAGGCTCTTTCGGACAGAGAAGAAGGAGGAGGAGAAATTATCAACAATATACGATTTGCGGACGATACGGTAGTTCTGGCTGAGTCTCTCGAAGACCTACAATTGCTGGTGGATAGAGTTTACAACGAAAGTCGTGCAATGGGGCTCACAATTAACATAGAAAAAACTAAATTTATGGTTGTCTCAAAGAACCCGGCGAGGCAACATCAGTTATACATAGAAGAACGAGCTGTTGAACAAGTCGAAAAATACAAATATTTGGGAGCGTACATCACCTCTGGCCTAGATCAAGATCAAGAAATAAAGGTCAGAATCGAAATAGCAAGACAATCATTTCTTGGTTACAGGAAGATACTCTGTAATAAAAACTTGTGTCTCAGTTTGCGATTGAGGTTCGTCGAATGCTATATATGGTCACAATTATTATATGGGGTAGAAACCTGGACACTAAAAGCACAGATCATCAAAAAACTGGAGGCCTTCGAGATGTGGCTGTATAGAAGGATACTAAAAATTCCCTGGACGGATAGAATTTCAAACGAAGAGGTCTTACGAAGAACTGGCCGCGGTAGAAAATTAATAACTTTAATAAAAAGACGCAAAACCGCTTATCTGGGGCACATCTTAAGAAATGATAAATACCGTCTACTACAAACTATTATGCAGGGAAGACTAGATGGAAGAAGGGGTATCGAAAGAAAAAAGAAATGACCCTGTATATCTGCAGTATTATATCGTTAAGAAGTCGTATCATGTCTTTGCTATTTAAAAAATACTTAATATTACCAACAAGTGACCTAATGTGGGCAGCTATAAATTCAACAAGAATATGCCATCTTAAATCTCGAATATCTCAAAAACTAAGTAAAATTTAAATATAAGATAAATTACAAACTTACCTTTTTTTGTCCTAGAATTTCTGCCTAAACCATGCAAAATTCGAATAGGAATTTCTTAAGAAGGTGACCTTTATTTTTACCACGGATTCCAAAAATGTCTAAATATACATGGTGTTCCATTTAAAATAACAAAGTTTATGTCGGGAGGGACGCTTTTGGGACACCCTGTATCAACAAAATTATAATATTTTAAATCTTCAGGAGAGTCCAAGAAACTTTTGTGTGAAACTTTTTTTCGTATCTCTTGTGGGTTTCCAGATAGTATAGTGGGTCGTTTTATTTGCCACACGGTGTACACTACGTCTCTGAACCACGGAAAGCCATACTAAGTCAGTCAGAAATTGCTGCTTCCGCCCAATCCTAGATTTCGGCCGTGCGTAAGAATTTTGAACTTTTTGTATCCTCTTATCAATCCGTATCCAATCCAAAAATGTCCCATAAAGTGGCCGCAAAATTTAAATGTAATGAAATGAAACTTTCGCATAGAACAGGCTTACAAAATCTAAATGATTATATGAGTTTTTAAATGAAATTGTGCTATCCTCCCCTCTAAGTTTTATACTTTGAAAACAATATGGCAACTGACTTGCATGGATTGATTTGCAGAAGATGCTCGTTACAAATTAAAGTAGCAACCAAAAAAATGGTTTTCAAAAATTAAGCGAATAAAATTTTTTGTTGTTTTTTTTTTATTTGACATTGCGACTTAGTTATTTTGGTTAAATAATACGAAACATATTTAAGCACAAATTATTGCCACAAGTTGGTATTAAAAATTCGATTTATTGCGTTTCATATCACCTATGCATACTTTTCATTATTTTTGTTAAAATTAGATTCAATTTTGTTCCCGCACTGTTAATTTTTGTTAATATATTGATGTATATTCACAACACATGCTTATTTAAAAATATAACATTGGCTTCATGTTAAGTGGTTCATTTTATAAGTCATTTAACTTACTTTATACTTCCTGCCGAATTTTTTCCAAGACAAAAACGCAAATTGAACTGAGGTGGCTTTTGCTTGATGAAATGTGATTTCATAAAGACACGGTGTTGTCGAAACATTTATGATGTCAAAATATATAATTGCGTGAAAACCTGAACTTTTAGTTCTTATTTATTTTGACAAAAAAAGCACTTATTTTTTAATTGTTTCAGGCAACGGTTACCCCAAAATATTTCCCGATGCTCGCACTACGCTTACCTGGAAGATATTTACGACTTGGTGCAAAGGGACGAGGGTAAGTGCATCGCATTGCTCCCGTTTACATTTCGAAATTAAATTAAATGTCGGAATCGTCATTGTCACGTCAAACGTTAATTCAAAAAAAAAAAAATGACCGTGCGCGAAAACAAGCTTTGGCTTTCATCTGCGGACGAGAAATCATTTTCCGGTTCCACGGAAAAATTCGCCGGGACAATGGAAATCGATAATTAGCGTTGACAAGCCAATCGACTTACGTTTTCGGGATCGAGTTTGCACAAATTTTCATCATGTCTCCGTTTCAGAGATCGACGAGGTCCTTTTTTTCGACCAACTGGGTCAAGAACTCATCGCCTCGTCATGTACAGATCGCATGGAAAGGGCGTTCAGATGTTTGGGCGGCGACCTCAAAGAGTTTTTAACCACCCTCGACGGCGTTCACGACGTTCTCAAGTACCAGGAAAATGTCAACGAAAGTGAGTAATTTTCGATAAACGTTTTCCGCGGAAATTGTGAAGTTTAATAATCGGATACGCGTTCCGGACTTTGGGAATTGTTTCCGTCAAATTTTCTGATTCGGATTTAAGGGAAGAGTTGCGGAAACGTTAATTTAATAACCTTTTAAAGTGACGTAGTAAGAAGCGGCAACCGGGAAAGTAGGGTCACGACACAATGTGAATTCCCAAAACTTAACTTAGAAGAATAGCACTTCAACATTTCTATATACTTTTAAAATCTTAACAACCAACGGAAACAATGTGAAAGAAGAGCCGACAAACAAAAAACAAAATAACATAACTTACAAAATAACTTGTTTCTAGACATTTCAGAAAAGGTGGGTAATAAAATCTCATTATGTATGCAAAGATGCTACAGAGTGACTCAACGAATATTTATCCCACTACCATTGTTGGGGTAAATTTATGGGTTTCGAACACAATAAATAAATTAAAATTAGGCATTAGTCAAACTCTCTCCTCTTCTTTTGCGAAATGCTGGACTGGACTTTTCTGCATTTCTGTGCTAGAGCTAATTCCTCAATGCTTTATAGTTATGCTTTGACCAGACAAAGTTATTATTTTTCAAAGTAAAATCTAAAATTGGTACTTCTCAGTAAAGATTTCTACAAAGCTAATTTTCATTCAAGACCCCCTATATACCGGGTGATGATTTGCCGAACGGAACATAAAAAATAACATATAGATTTTTAAGTGGCCAAATATTGGCTTCCCTGTACATTTTATAGCATAGTTGTAATATAACTTGTTGGAAGACCCGGTATGATTAACTCATGTACCGAGTTTGAATAAATTTTAGTAAGCCAATCTTCAATTATTGAATTAAATATAATGGTAAAATTAGAAAATTTATATGGCTTAATTAATAAATCAAATATCAGTAAAATACATTTTGACATTGACAACACGAAAATTCGTGACAATATTTTAATTTCCGATTGTTATACGTTCTTAAACGCGCTTTACTTTAATTAAAGCTAAATATGCGCTATTCAATTCACGAAAACGTAATGATAATTAAGTGGTATTATTCAGGAAACAGTATTACAGCAGTGTCTGAAATGTTTTCAGTTTATTTTCCCGCTAAAACTGTATCTCTGATTTCAACAATTAAACATATTGTTACCCAATCCGAATCCAAAGAAACCTTAATAAATAACTGCAAATTTTCAGCTAAAAATGTCGATGATAGAGGAGAAGAAAGGGAAAGAGATTTGAACATTTTACTGCATGTTGAGGAAAACATAATGATTAGTACGAGAATTCTTGAACAAGCCGTAAATAAACATCAAACCACAGTGTTGCGCACATAAAAAAACATAAATTTTTTAATATTTGTTTCACTAGTGGATGTACATTCACAATCAACAACGAACCAAATGTTCAAAACTATCAGTATTGGAGCCAAAACAAAGAATATCGTTCTGTTCATACTCGAAGCCTCAGAAAATAAATGTTATGGTGCGAATTCGCGGACATTATATTATTGGGCTATTTTTTATGGAATATAACCTCACAACCTATTGCACTTATTAAAAAATCAAATTAAACTCGCACTAGAAGAAGTTGGGAGATCTGGTACCACATGGATGATTGTCCAGTCCATAATTTACGTTATGATTAGGGAGTATTTGGGAAATACTTTTAACGGGAATATTATTGGCCCAAGGTGCCGAATACTTTGGCCACCGGCCTGAAGAAGTTGTTCGAGAAGATCAGGAGATGTGGTACCACATGGATGGTTGTCCCGTCCATAATTTTCGTATGATTAGGGAGTATTTGGGAAATACTTTAACTGGAATATTATTGGCCCAAGGTGCCGAATACTTTGGCCACCGACCTGAAGAAGTTGTTCGCGAAGATCAGGAGATCTGGTACCACATGGATGGTTGTCCAGTCCATAATTTACGTATGATTAGGGAGTATTTGGGAAATACTTTAACTGGAAAATTATTGGCTCAAGGTGCCGAATACTTTGGCCACCGATCTGAATAAGTTGTTCGCGAAGATCAGGAGATGTGGTACCACATGGATGGTTGTCCCGTCCATAATTTTCGTATGATTAGGGAGTATTTGGGAAATACTTTAACTGGAATATTATTGACCCAAGGTGCCGAATACTTTGGCCATCGACCTGAAGAAGTTGTTCGCGAAGATCAGGAGATCTGGTACCACATGGATGGTTGTCCAGTCCATAATTTACGTATGATTAGGGAGTATTTGGGAAATACTTTAACTGGAATATTATTGGCCAAAGGTGCCGAATACTTTGGCCACCGACCTGAAGAAGTTGTTCGCGAAGATCAGGAGATCTGGTACCACATGGATGGTTGACCAGTCCATAATTTACATTATGATTAGGGAGTATTTGGGAAATATTTTTAACTGGAATATTATTGGCCCAAGGTGCCGAATACTTTGGCCATCGACCTGAAGAAGTTGTTCGCGAAGATCAGGAGATCTGGTACCACATGGATGGTTGTCCAGTCCATAATTTACGTATGATTAGGGAGTATTTGGGAAATACTTTAACTGGAAAATTATTGGCCCAAGGTGCCGAATACTTTGGCCACCGACCTGAATAAGTTGTTCGCGAAGATCAGGAGATGTGGTACCACATGGATGGTTGTCCCGTCCATAATTTTCGTATGATTAGGGAGTATTTGGGAAATACTTTAACTGGAATATTATTGGCCCAAGGTGCCGAATACTTTGGCCATCAACCTGAAGAAGTTGTTCGCGAAGATCAGGAGATCTGGTACCACATGGATGGTTGTCCAGTCCATAATTTACATTATGATTAGGGAGTATTTGGGAAATATTTTTAACTGGAATATTATTGGCCCAAGGTGTCGAATACTTTGGCCACCGACCTGAAGAAGTTGTTCGCGAAGATCAGGAGATCTGGTACCACATGGATGGTTGTCCAGTCCATAATTTACATTATTATTAGAGAGAATTTGGGAAATACTTTTAACTAGAATATTATTGGCCCAAGGTGCCGAATACTTTGGCCACCCACCTGACCTCTCGCCGAACGACTTCTATCTGTGGAAAGTGTTATCTATATAACTGCTAAAATTGAAAATCTTAACCATTTTCTTAGAATGTGACACAATATCAACAATATCAACTAAGCAATGTTAGAAATTAATTTTGTGATCGCTTAGGTAACTGATATTTATTTTAAATAATGTTTCTTTTTAGCAATGATTTGTATCCACATTTTTATTAGAATTATTAATTAATTTTAATAAAAGACTTGAGGGTCAAATTTGCAGTCGTTACTTGAAGCTTCCTTGTTACCGTCCTTTAAATGAAATTCATTCCAAGAACGCTTTAAGGGGCAAGGAGGTTTTAAGAACCGAATATGAGTTTGATCCGAAGAAAAACAATGAGATACCTACATTTTTATTTTTAATGTCTGCAACTAAATGTGCAAAACTTTATTGTAAATAACCAACCTTTATTTGATATTTCATTGTCCAGCTCGACGTGGTCAAGTTTTAGAAATAGCGTCATGGAAAATATTCGCTCGTATTTGTTGAATCGGCCTTTTGCATTTTTGCCATCATATTTAATTTAATATCTGAATATTGGGTTATTAAAATTTATTGGAACTCGGCACATGAGTTCAAACAGCCAAATTTCAATATTTGGCCAACTAAAAATTGGCATGGCAAATTCTATGTTCCATCTGGCAATCCATCACCCGGTATAGGCATCCTTCCAAATTTACCCAATTGGGCAAACCATTTAGTTGCTGATAAATCTAAAGAGACAGACATAGAGGGATACCAAGAAACCGTTTTTTACATTGACTTTCATTTGGAGACTGAGTAACAATTTTCTTATTTATGTTGACGACAATGCAATACCTCTAAATAAAGTAAGATTTACTAAAAAAATAATATAATTTTAATAATCAAATAATGTGCAGTTAATATCAATTATTGTTAAAAATTAATAAATTTTTGTGATTATATCAGTATGACCTAAGTTGTTCCTACGTGGTCTAGCAACTTGAAAACCGTAAGAGATGGAAAATCATATTGGGAAAAGATTTACATATTTTGGTTAAGAATTTAGGGACTGTTTTTAATCAAAAGAATTACGATATTTAGAATATGTAACCAACCAACTAAAACTAACCAAATGTGAAGTGTAAATTTACTTTATTTTTGTCATTTGAATTATACTATATTTAACTTAATAATAATTAAATGAAATTCAATGGATTGGAATATTAATTATAATTGATTAATAATTGATAACTTAGAGAATTTTAAAAACTCCAATATTTTCCGTTGATCACTGCACAATATAGTTCCCGGTTTGAATTTGAAGAAAAATAGAAACCTAGTTTCCCGAAGTGCCTACATTGCGCATAATTTTAATCATTTCATAAACTCAACGAATGACATATTATTTAGATTGTAACTGTAAGAGGTTCGAATTATCGAAGCTTATTTTCAGTGGACCATCACGAAACTGAAGCAGCTTTCGTTTGTAATGCGATTGACGATACCAATATTCAACTGGACTTTACGACAGAACGACCCGTAGTAGCGTATCTTTTAGCAGGCAGTCTCAAAGCGATAGCGAGATTATTGTATTCGACCCATGCAGAAGTGAGATTAACGCAATGTTCGCAGGACAAGAAATACTTCAGGTTAGTTACCACGAGATAATATTCCTAAAAATGCAAGGAATCCGTCTTTCAGATTTCACATACATAGGTTAAGGCCGCATAACGAATGCAACCATCTGCGGCAGAACATAAAGTCGACTTTGGATGCGAAGGACAATCTTCAAATGGGCGTCCCTACATTTTGTAAAGCATTCCCTTGGCACTTTGTGATAGGTAAAATCGGCGATTAAAATTTCCGCGTTTCATATATACGATATCAATTTAAAAAATTATTCCCTTTTTTGAAGTAGGTACATCTCAACGTTTCCTCCGGCCGTTATTAAGAGAAGAATGGCCAATTTTAAAAACCAGCTTATATACAGTCCTGCTTGGCATCAGGTGTAGCCGTTAGTCACTGTCCTGTCCTGTGCGCTTCAAGTGTGACTGACTGCTGGTCGCTGGTGTGTGAAGTAGTCCCGTGAGCGTCATGAGTGACCTGTGTTCTCTCTGGTGGGATATAGTTTTGTGCTCCTCATGTGTGACCACTGATCGCTGGTGTATAAAGTATTGACTACTAATTGCTGGTGTGTGTAGTAGTCCTCTGAACAATAAATTGTGAATGCTGGTCGCTGGTGTGTGTCCTGTGCGCATCAGGTGTGATAGCAAGCCGCCTGTGTGTGAAGTCTTGTGTGAAATAGTCCTGTGCTCAACAAGTGTAGCCGCTGGTTGCTGGTGTGTGCAGTATTCTTCTACGCATCAAGTATGACCGCTAATTGCTTGTGTGTATAGCAGTCCTGTGGGCATTAAATGTGACCACTAGTCACTGCTACTTGAAGTAGTGATTTTCATAGCCTTTTTACTTCAACTGATGGTTTGGAAAGGGCCTCCCGGCTCTCCTGAATGAATGAATGAAAACAGCAAACCAATGTTGTTCTTTGTACATTATTCCTGCCTTCGGTGTTGATTTTTCTGCCCCGGACTTTGCTCGCTTCGCTCTGCATCGTTCGTATGTTCCTTACTGCAAATGGATCTTCCCAATACATAAATTTGTCCGCACTGACATGATTCTTTATATTGTAATATGAGTTTGAAATATTTTGTTTTAAGTTGGCGGAAAGTCAAGTCACTAGTTTAAAAAAAAGAAGAGTTGGCATTAATTAATTAATGATCGGGTTTTGGTGTCTGCTCGTCTTAGTTCAAGTATCGTAGTATCTAATTGTTCTTAGTATCTGTGTGTACCTTGCGTCTTGCTACAGAATCATCGGGTTCATTTCAGACCTAATCACTCTTCTTTTTGTCGTATAGAAATGATTTGAGGCTGCGTTAAGTTATGACGTAACGTTAACCCAGCTCAACCAAGCCTTGGTTGTACTGTCATCATCAACTTACGTTTAGTATGTATAACTTGTTAGTATAAATTTTATTTTGTATTCACCTGAAGACGACCGGAGATACAGTTGCAGTTGAAACGTTGTGAAAACAAATAAAATAACAACAGACTTCCAAAATAACTCATTTCATTACTTTAAATGATTTCCTCGGTTTAAATTTCGCAAATGCGAAACGATTGCAAACGAAGCGAATGCGACTCCTGCTCGCCGCAGCAAATTGAGGATGTCGTCCGGAACGACGCGAATAAAATTCATTGCCTCGTTACGAATTCGACGACAATTTTATTCGACAAAAGAAAGACAAAACGAGACATTATAAATCGCGTAAAACTAAAACAATTTGCTTAAAAGCGTCAGCGTCTCACGCGTGTCTTTTTCCCGCAGACAGACGTTTGGAACTCGTACAATTGGGATCCGGTTTTATGCGACTCTTCGGTCGTTTTCTAAAGACTTGTGGCACCTCCGTCGCTACTTACTTCGCTTTTAACCGACCACGAAGCATCACGCTCTCTTTTAACGAAATCGTGAAAAGAGCCAACACACCCTTTGTTCTCGCCTTAAAGAGGATTCCTGGAGACCGCTTGTATCAGGCAGAGGTAAGTTTCATATTAACCAATGCTTAACGAACTAGTGAGACGAACATCTCATTCGGTGACGTCTCGAGCCTAAACAAATAGAGGAAAATTACCCGTTATGGGATTTTTTTCTGATTTGAAGGATGGATGTATCTTTGAAAGCAATATCAACTTAATAAGTCGCTAGCCTATCAATTGTTCTGCCATTTCCGTTATGCGTGTTTGCATTATTCTTATTTACATAAACAAATTTAATTGTTTACCATTATCCGAACGCATCATAATATGGGGTATCCGAAATATCCCGAATAAGGAGACCCCATTATAGCTAGAAACTGGATCATCAAGAATAAATTAAAGCACAATGCTACGTTAATCAGTATGCCCAGCCCGGTCAGCCAAATTATAGCACAGATACTGCTTTTTAATTACATGTGAATTTAGGACTTCCAAAAGTTGCGTTTTTTTGTAACCGAATTCAAAATAAATATTATTTTCTAAGAATATTCCTGGATTTCAGTTTTTTAAATTGCTGGGCTCATGCTTCGCGTAGCAAACGGCTGTGGTAGCTTGCCTTATCCATAACAATAACATTTACACAGTTATTAGGAATATTTTTGAAAATATTGTTTTGAAACCAATTTTCAAACAGTTCGCAACTTGTATCATGATGGTAGTCTCTAGAGTCTTTAATATTGTTTGTAAACAACAGCGAGCAGTTTGAGATAAATTCGTCTTCTGACCCTACGTTTTATGGTGATGCGTTTTCCTTTATTTGAAGGTTTCATCAAGGTAAATTATTGTAAGTAATTAAATCTCCAAGTGCGTAATCCGTGAGATTCCTTTACGTCTTTGCCTTTTGATTATTTTGCGGTACTTAAATCCCATTTTCCGAACAACTCTATGGAGGGAGGGTGGCACGGCTTACATTTATATAGATTTCACCTTCGTCTAGTTTCTTTTTCAGTTTATCCAATATATTTTCCTTCTTGTTAGGTCCTGGTCATTATTGTCTATACAGTGAGTTTAAAAATCATCACGTTTATTTCTTCAATTCTCCATTATTAATAATATACCTTATCGACGATATTGGCGCTTTTGTAAGTACACAGGTTTCTTTTAAAGCCTCTCGTTGAATAAATTCTCAACTGATTAAAGTTTCATCGACATTTTTCACAACCGGTTTTGCATCACTCGTCAAATGATTTCGACGCGACATTGTTATATTCTCGCAAAATAACTTTTTCCAAACGGACAGTACAAACGATTAATCAACACTGCGACAAATGTTCAATGCTCAACAAATATGCCTTGTCACTCAAGTAAGAATAAATTTTGTGCTAATGGCTTTGCCCAATAACAAGCCAACAAGATGAAGACTAAGATAGACTATACCTCAAACGACTTTGTAAATGTCCAAAACAAACTGGATAGGAAAGAGTATTTTTAAAACAAAAATCTGATCAAACTAGGCATATTAAAAAAATATCATTTTCTTTGCGCATAGAAAGTAAAATAGAAGCTCTTACCACCATAAAGAGGTGTGCTATTTCTAAATGGTTTAATGGCTTTCGTCATCGTCATCACCAACTTTCCCTCATGAACAACAAAATATTTTTTGCAATGTTTAAATTTGAATTAGATGATTTTTAAGTACCTCATATTAGGTCATACAAGGACTCCAGCCTAATATTGTAAAGACATTTATTTTTTAATAAAAAAAAATAATTTTGCAGTTGTTTATTATCTAATATTATCATTCCCGGTTAATAAAGAATCAATTTTGCTAAAATAAATTATTCAAAACATACATTCTTTTGAAAAATTTAAATGGTATTCCATAACTTTCGAGTATCCCCAATGATTTGAGATCTTCCACACTCTTCGTTGAGCTTATTTTGTTTAACGGTGGGGCATTTTTTTTTATTTACTTCTGTTTTGTAACTACGCCATATTTTTTTAATGAAAAAATGTCAAATTTCGCTTTGACCCTTTCAAATTAAACACAAACATGACCACTAGAGGGGGCATTATTTAATGCGAATAAGAAAATAGAAGTTTTACAAAATTTTGCATCTCATCAAATAGAGATTTCTTTTATCTGAACCATTTTGCCCTATCCGCTTAAAGTGGTGGAGAAAGGTTAGATGTATTTTTATTTACTCTTACTCTATATTCCACGTTGTAAACAACAATAATATGCATATGATAGTACATAGCAGGGGGCGCTGCCTTCCAACTTAACAAACATTGCGCATTTCTTCAGGCATGTAGTTTTATTTTTTTAAATAATTAATTTTTTTAATACAAATGTATTTGCAATGGTAATGAATTATGACCACTCCCAGGAAATATAAAAAAATGATTAGTTTACTTTGATATCGATAGTAACATTAGATTAATATAATTCCATTCAAATAATATTTTTTATGTGCACTTCTCATTTATTTTTCACTAATTAACATGTTTAGAACGAATATGTTCTGATTAAGGCGTTCAAAACGCACACTTAATAAGTTTCTCAAATATACTTTCGGAATGCATTTGGCAGATCTTAATAAAATTATAACGCGATAATTCAATATGCAGCGTGTTAGGTTTTTTAAAGATTTTTTTAATAACATCTAAAATAGTCTTTTCCGGAATCCCTCCAAACAGATTTTTATTTATATATTATTTGTGCATTAGATATTAGGGTTGCAAGCAGCATCACAGTAAATAATAAACAGAAAAGTGAAAAAAGGACTTTATACTCTATAATTTTTGTTAGCTTTTGCAGAACGGTGAATAGAAAGACCATAAACATTATGGGAATAACCTATCCATACACGCGACAGCATAAGTAAAACGCACGTCTCTAAAATTTGGCCTCAAACTACCAAGTTCATTGTTGATAAGAAATATGTCAGTTTCATATTGTTAATAATTAACAGCAGCCAGGTTTTTCAGAAAAATTTTTTGAGCGCTTTCGAGACGTCTAAGATATAATAGCTGGGATTCCATACAACGTAGTCAGACGAAAGCTTACTGGGTACAAATACGTAATAGATTCATATGAGAGTTTTGGGGATTAAGAATTCTTTTGTTTTCCTATTTATAAAGTCATTGTGTCATCCAACTTTTCATCTAGAATAACTCCCAATTATTCAAACTATACAAAGTTGACAGGGTTATTTCTTTTAGAAAGGAAAAAATTTAATCATTTTGATGCATTTTTGAACAGACTATTTTCATTGCAGTACAAGGTGTTTAAATTTACACCTACAAACAATATTATCTTGCCTAGAAGTCCTAAAAGGAAATAACTCGGCCGCAAGATCAAACTATGGAGATATAGCAGTTTTCAAATATTTCATATTTTTATCTAAGATTTTTAGCTTTTTCTTGTAGTACCTAATTTGTTTTATTGTTTAACCCAGTGACTAGTTATTTTGAATCTAATATTTAAAGTTCGTAGTTTTAGTTATTAAGAAAACAATTTAAACAATTTAAACAATATGATTTTGTCAATTTCGACAAAGAATAAAAAATGCTTTTTTATAGTTTTCTTGTTAATATTGTTTAATGTTTTCGTTTATTTTTTAATTCTTCGAAACAAAAAAATTATTTAGTTAAAATCTCATTACAATATATATAAGTAAAAAAAAATCAATTGATCCTTTAGTCCAGATGGAAATAATAGCTTGAAGCGTTAAATTAAAGTGCTCCTTCGGCAAAATTTTGTCCAACATTTCTGCCGCATTGATGTGATTACCATTGCCCCGACTCCTAGTGTTTTAATGGCTTGCTTCATTCTAAATTGTTTGCCACAGCGCCAAAGTTGTCTGACCAATGGCAGTTTTAGTTTAGCGTTATTTAATTCAATGACAAAAATCATTTAGAAAAACTTTTTCTCCATTTAGGAATTCGCAGCTAAAAGTTAAAACAAATAAATTACAATCCTTTTATAAGGAAAAAGCTCCGAAAAGAGTTTTGTTTAATCCGTCGTATATCTAGCTACATTGTGTTCTAAACTAACAAAAAAAAAGGTGCAAAACGAACAAAGTTTAAACAAAGCCAACAAGCAAAAGCACTGAACCGTATTAATGGTTGAACTAGTTTTTAAGGGAAATGTCCCAACATTCAATACAACGCTCTCAAGGGCATAATTATCAGACAAGAGCATAACGAGCATATGACTTAGCTTGTTTTGTGTTCGCGATACAGGGTGGTCAAAATTTTATATTAAGTACTCAAAAACCTTTCAGTTAATTTTGAAAAAACTTGCTCGTTGCTTATTGGTCGTCCTAAAGGTCAGTGTAATTAGAATAAAATTATTCATTTCAGTGGCGCCTGAGAGAGTAATCTAATTGATGTTTTTAGGTAAAATTATTATACGCCACTGTTGTTTTGAAGATTATTTTTTCTTTACCGCCCTATGCGAGCATACAAAATGAAATCACTTCATTAAACGAAAATTTTATGCATCTGCATTTCCGCGTTAACCTAAATTCTGATTTCCAAAAACTCTGTTGGAGAAATTTTAGGTTAATCGCTAGAAGTTCCAAGTTTTTAAATTTTATGGACGCTGTTGGCCCCAGAGCACAACTTAGGCAAACAATGGTGGGTCGTAAAGCGTGAAGTCAGAATGGTGTACTAAAATTTACAGCAGAAATATATGATAAAATCAATAATGGACTTACTTTAAATGGCCAGTTTAAAGAATAAAATCTTAAAGAAGGAACGAAATAATTGAAATTTTATTTAAAGGTGCTACTTTTTCATTATTAAAAATGTATTACATATTTACCAGTTTTTATAAATCTTTCTTCCAAATAACTTAAGAAACTGATTTTATCTACTCATTTACAAAATTCATGTAGTTATTACGTTGTTACATTTAAATTTACTTTTTTTTTAAAGTGCTCTAACAAACTGTACCTTTTTAACAATAAAAGAGCTAAACTAAAATTATTTGTAATTTGTGCGAAAATTACCGATTTTCCGAATTACCGATTAACCGAAACTGTTCATTTCGCAAG